AAAACTGGTGAGAATTAATGTTAAATAAAGAGGGACAGAGAGAATTAATATGATTAGGAAGGGGAAGAAAAAATAGAGGGGCACATAAAAATGACTGGAGAGTAATGAGGGATACAAAGGGTGAAAATGAGGTTTTCCCCTCTAAGAAACAATTGATCAGATGGAGTTATGAGTCCTACTTTTGATTATTCTTGTTACAGTGCAAAACACAAAGTAAGATTCCAAAAACAAACCTGGCATGCAGCATGGGCATTAAGAGGTAGCACAGTTTGCTTCTAGTCAACTAGGTTGGTGTACAGTGCGGTATATCATGTGCTGATAATTAGCAGATAATCATTCTTGTTGTCAGTAGTTGTTTCATATTTTGCGCATTCACTGGTACACCAAAAACTGTGCACAATGCAGAATGTCTAAAATCTGAGTCCTCCACATTTTGTAAGTCTGTCTGGACAAGCTACAGCCGTGTCAGGTGTATGATTTTGACCAGGAAGCATGGTGCTTTGGTTACCCTGCAAGTTTTTATCAGCATACATGCTCTTTTCATACCCAAATAGGACCCAATGATGTCAAGCACATTTTTTATTTTACCTGAAGAGCCAAGTCACTGCACAGAAAGGAGGAAATAACTCACACTTAAAAAAATCACTTAGTTACTTTTATTTTGCCATCAGAAAATGTACTTGTTAGTCTCAATTACATTAAATAAATACTTTCATTGTTTAGAATATTTTCAACTTATTTTGGAAATATTCTCATATAAAAAATTTTGAAAAGGCATTGATGCCTATAGTGCAAAGTCAGAGAAATGACTATTTCCAAGTCATTGTGAAGTGTATTTTCAGGTTGGTCAACAATCTTTTACAACCAGTTGACAGAAATACAGAAATAAAGTGTACAGTGCAGGTCAAGTGTCACAGGGAGTGATATGAAGTTCCTAGAACACCTGAGGTTTATGACTGGAAGCTCCTGGCTTTATGAAATTCAGGCTCCTGATCAGGTCAATGCATTTGCCTAGAAAGAGGAGAGGGACAGAGAGAGAGAGAGAGAGAGAGAGAGAGAGAGACAGAGAATTATGTACATGATTACAATTCAGATACATTAAATACATATCAATTTGCTAATTACATTGCATTACATTTCATGACATCTATGTTTTATGGAATATGTTACATTATCACATCTTGCATAACATAAAACACTGAATAGCATATGTTCTCTAGGAAATCCAGTTTAGTTTAGCTTGTAACAAAAAGTATCTTATAGTTCTAGCTATAGGGGATGAGCCGATGCCTTACAGCAACACACAACAAACACGTAACCTCTGTGTGTACAGTTTGTCATTGCTAAAGTATGAGGGACGGCTTTTGTAGGGTTTCATCACATTCCAAAGCCAGATCCTTGAATGAAAGGAGTCTGGTGAGCTGTGCATTCCCTGTGTACTTGAAGGTGACAAAGGCCTCAACAATAGCTGCTGACATTAGTCCCCCTCATATCACACTGCACTTTTCTCTCATTGTTCCCTCTGAACTTCTCACATGTATTGTCTTACATGATATCCTTAGAACCTGATAAGGTGCCCCGTGAAGGTTTTTGCAGCTGAGGACACAGGCCTGGGAGTGTCTCAGGGTTACAGCTGCTTATTATTCTCTCATAGAAGAGAGTGGGAGACTGTAGGACCTGGGGAACGCCTTATCAGATCCCATTTACACCCAACCTCTCCTGGGTTACCTGCACCTTCAACCTTTCCTTGATTACTCTCCTTATACTTGACGCTCCCTTCCTCCAGAAAGACATTATGGTATTACATTTCCTGAACACTACAGACCTTGTTGAAAAGCATGGGAGGCATTCTGGGGAACAGCTGCAGTAAGGATGCCTGATTGGTTCAGTTATATCTTCATTGTATGGTGTCATTGCCCACATCAGACAACAGCAGAACGGAATGCCATTTTACAATCCCATGACTTCAACATAGGTGTTTCCTACAGGTTTACTCTAAATGCATATGCAAAATAATCTTGTCAGATACCTGAAATCTCTTAAAAGTGGATGAGTCCCTTGCAAGTTTCTGTAAGTCAGCAAGTCCCTTAAGAATTTATAATGTACAAAAAAAAAACACAGTTTTGACCAGGCTGTCTTCTGCTACATATTTCTCTGATGTTTGACAGTACAGAACAGTTTGGGTTTATCACAGGTTCCATGTGCCATCAACAACCAAACTCAGCCTAACACCAAACGATAAAGGGAGGTTGAGTCAGACAACAGAAACGCACCTCCCTGCCTGCTCAGAGCATCTCAAGGGCACACGCTGCCTGTTTGGCCTGTCTGTCTGTCTGTGGCAGCTGGTCTTAGTCAAAGCTGCACGTGCATCCTCCTCATCCTCTCTGCTGACACTGCAATATGTCTCTATACAAGGTTGATGTGCACAGTATGTGAATGCATGTGGGCCCAGAGCCTTGCTGATCTTCCTCAGTATTGCTGACATTTAGGTTATATCAAGCAAAGCATTTGACAATCACTAGCTGAACCAGTAGATTAGATGTTGATGTATATCAGGTAAAGTGAAATATCAGCTTTCTGGGGTTTGATCAGCATTTAGGCATGTGGCATTTTTTGGTTGTACATCAATCAATGATGTCAAAGCATTTGCTTCACTTCAACTTCCCTAGCCCCTCACCTAGAACTGTGGACATATAAACATCATAGATTTTTATCATCTGCCAACAACAATACACCTGCTTTGACATCACTAATTAGAATATGGCCTGAAATGTAGCATGCTCATTTGTTTCTGATTACTGCTCATCAACTCTGCCAGTATTTAAACACTTTACAAAGAGATTTTATAAACATCTAGGCCTTCCACAAGCCATCTCATAATGGTGCAGTGTTAGTCTTTTACAAACAGCTGTATGACTTATGATTTGAGTCTTTAATTCAGTTCTCTTTCTAGTTCAGTTATTCTGTTATACTATTAGAATTTTTTAATTTCAGTGGTAGTATGCTCTCCATCACAATGTGCATTTATGTGAAAAAACACAGGATTTATTGGGAGTGGTCTCTCTTCATCCACAAAAAAGGATTTCATGTCAAAGTGTCCCTTGAGAAATTGACTAAGGTAGAAAGCAATGCCTGGTGTTACCACAAGTCTGATAACAGGGTGGATGCCTTGCTCTCCTTTTGCTAACTACTCCCAGTAGACTGCAGTCAGGTGCCTCCACTCTCCACGAGGAGGCAACTGATGCTGCTGCTGATGTGCAGAGAATAAGGCTTGACTAGAAACCTTTAGAACTGGAAGAGACTCCTGATGCACATACATGCACATCTATACAGGTACACATATGTGTCTAAACTATGTGTAAGACCTGTTTTAAATTATATAATCTTACTGTACATACAGATTTCAACAAACAATAAATAGGCAATAAATAAACACAACTGTACCCAAAAATAAAAAAAACATGAATACCAAAACCTGGAAATATATATGACTGACACACATACAACACAACTCTCCACCATCCCATCCTCTCCCTCCTGTTCTTTCAGTATCTACCTTTGTCCGTGTTTATGAACCTTGGGAAGACATATTCTTTTTCATCTGTCAGTATGGATGGAAACAGACATGTTCAAAACACACAACAATGGCCTCACCAGCACCGAGGAGGCTTTATGTTTTGTATGCTTGAAGCCTTGCATTATCTCCTAAGTGTCTAGCAACCCCAGTATAGTAAATAATGGATGCTCCGCTTCCTTCTGGAAAAAGGCCCTCTTTCAGTTCAGGGACCAGTCATGGTTTACCTGTATAAATGCCCTTTTAGTGTCTTTGGAGAAATGGATAGTACTAAAGGATATGGGTCAGATGATTTCATTAGCACAGCATTTCTCTGTCTCCTTCAATCAGTCGTTTGACAGAAGCGATGTAAGTCAAAATGTCTTACAGATACTTTCATATAGAATTCTCTGAGAAAAAGGGTGCAGACTGCTGATCCACAGAAGATAATTTGTGAAATATAGCTCATATAATGAGGACAGAAACAATAATTCTTGAAAGGAGAGAGTGCAGTCACCTCTGAGATCAGCTGAATATGCTTTGACATCTTCAGTCTGGGGACTCCAGTCATTATGCCATTTGTTTCTGGGTCACGATCTACGAGAGCTCCATCCAACCTAAAAACACAGGAAAGGCATGAAGTTCAGTGCTGTAGATGTATAAAGACACACAAAGAACACATACAGCAGATAAACACACTTTATAGTTGCTGTAGGCTGACTTCACTAGAGAATGAGAGTTTTGTCTGACCCACTGGGTAATACGGTTTGGCCCACTTGTTCCTCTATACTTTGTACAGTTAAGCAAAACAGTAAGCAGGATTGATTAGGACTACAGTGTATCACTACATAACCAAGTTTCTTAGGTCTTCCTCCCCCACTCATTCTGATGTTACATTGAAAGACTTTCAGATATTGTGAATTATTTACTTGATTCACTATTCCACCCTTTAACCCCGCAGGAAATGCACAAGTAGTTGGGGTTAAAAAAACACTCTCACAGGATCTGAGTTTGACACAACATACATGTGTTTGTGTTTGTCTGCATGCTTGAACGTGTGTATGTAGAAACATGGTATATAACACATAAAGCATCTTCCATTTTCTGTACTTCTATCACTCTATCTTACACACATACTCTCTCTTTCTCTCTCTCTCTCTCTCTCACACACTCTCTCTCTCTCTCTCTCTCTCTCTCTCTCTCTCTCTCTCTCTCTCTCTCACACACACACACACACACACACACACACACAAATTCATCACAGCATCATTATGTGGGCACTTCCTGAGTGAGAATCCGGGCTATCCCAGATGGGATTATTATAACACAGCCTGATCTGTGCAAGAGCTAGGAGTGTGACTGTGCAAGTGTGTGTGCATGTTTGTTAGACAGTGAGCCCCGACCTGTGCTTCATGACCTGAGTGAGTGAGTGGGTGCACCTCTCTGTATCTGTGAAGGTATAAAATATATAGTACAAGCATAAAACTGTGCCATATTTTTTACCATTAGCAAAAAGGCATTTTCTTTGACAACTATATTAACCTACACAACTGGCTAACATTCACTTACAAGATAATATGTATACAGTGAACATATTCATGCTGAGGTGTACAGTCAAAGGCTGAAATAAAGGTGTCTGAGATACATGTCTGTCCAGCAGCAAACTGATTGATTGAGGCTGCAGTAGCTCCCTGTCTGAATGAGTGAATATTAATGTCCCTGAGTTATGTGGACCTTAATGGATTTGCACACACACACACACACACACACACACCAACACCAGCTCTACTTGGCCATGTTGCTGTGGTATGTCCCTGGCATGCAGCAGTGTTGTCATGGATACCCCCAGACACATCCGGCATCCCATAAGCAGGGAGATGCTGAGCGCCTCAGAGGGGCTGGCGCCGAGGCTCACCCCCTCCTTCCCCAAACCCTCAACGCCTATTCTCTATCTGCTGCCCCCAAAACTGAACCTCTGTCTCTTATTCTCCCTGAAAACCAACTCAGCCTTAAAAAGAGTCTCTGCTTGGGTAGGCCTGGAAGGACACAGCAGCTGTCTTGTCCCAGTATTAGAGTTTTCCTTATTATTAATTGGAATGGGTTGTAATGTAACTGGAGCAATAATAGCACAGAGAGACAGAAAATACCACATCAGTACCAGTTTAATTCTTGTCAAAGAAAATGTAAAATAGATGTTGAACAGGGAAAATGAATGACATTTTGCCTGTGTGTGTGTGTGTGTGTGTGTGTGTGTGTGTACAGTATGTGTGTGTGGGTGTGTATAGCCCTCGGGGCTATGGTTAAGCTTGCAGTTCATCCTGAACTGATCCTTTTCATTAGCTATTATCAATAATTCAACATTGCACTTGCTTTAATGGTTTAATGTGGGCAAACCCTCAAGCCACACACATCCATACTGACACCCCCTCACACACACACACACACACACACACACACTTATTTCACTTAGCATATTTCACTTAACAGCACTCACTCTCTTGGCCTACGCCCAATACCACTAAGGTGAACATAGATATGTAAACGTGCATGGAAAACAATCAGTCTACCCAAGCCTTTCAAAAGAAAAGTACCTATCACTCAGAAACACCAGTTTGCCTACCAGGCTTTCATGGGATGCTTTGATTTACAGAAGAAATCATTTATGATTTCCCTGCAAAAGTCTGTTTTATTGTATATCAAGTTATCTTTGCAATAAAAAGGCAGGGCAAATCCTCTAGTTTGAGATGAAGAAATGAAGGGGTTAATCTTTTATGACGTGTTCCCTCCCATCCATGCTCTCTTTTACCCTCCCTTTCATATTCTTCGGTATGGCACTGCTCACTCCCTGCACATATGCTTAAAAATAATCCTCTTTGATTGGAAGGCTAATTTGAAGTGTCAATTATTCTTATGCAAATGAAGGTACAGTTTCTCACATCTGAAATGGGCCGGGGCACAGATGGGCTCATGCGTGTGTGTGCACGTGTACAAATCTCCCTCCAAAAGACATATAGTGCCATTCCAGATGGGTTCATGCGTGTGTGTGCATGTGTAGAAATCTCCCTCCAAAAGACATACAGCGCCATTCCCCCCACCCCTGAACTCTTCATCTATACCTCCTAGGGAAGAAAGCTGACACACAAAGACAACCGGCATAATGGAACGAAGATATTTGCATAAACATTGTCCATGCAGAACACCAAGCAGATCATATGTTGGGGGTACAATGCCAAAACAATAGCTTAGCATACTGCAGAACTGCATTTCAGCACCCACAACATTTGACAATACAGAGGCATGGTTCTATGTTGTAATATAAATAATGAAATGCTGTTGGGTAAACAGGGATACAACAGAAGCTGGGCTGTATCACTGGAAGTATTGTGGGCTGACAAAACAATTTACTAAAGCTTTTGTCATCGATACATTTTCTACTAACATCTTCTCTTTTGCTACTGCCATACCAGCGGTGCAAGTGAGAAACATAATCCTAGTGTCTGTGCAGAGAGCGAGGTACAAGAAGATCCTGTTTAAAGAAAAGAGAAAGAGAGAGACAGTGAGGGAGAAATTGAGAGAGCGACAGCGTGTGCCTGAAAGCATAGGTTTGTTTTTAAGTACAATATGTGAACGAGTACATACTGTATGTGAATATGCTCTTTATGGTAATTAAAGCTTCAGGCTCAAACCAGAATCCAGATGTGAGATTTCAACTGGCAAAAAGAGACAAAGTGAGGATGAAAAAGGAGAAAGGAAAAAAAGAAGAAGCAGACAGATAGAGGATTCTACAAATAGAGTCTGTTGTCTGACCCTCTCAGCTGATGTGCTGGTTCAAGTAAAAAAAAAAAAAAAGGCTTTTCAGGCCCAAAACAGGATCAAACAACCTGCTGCAGAGTCCAGTTACACCATAACAATGGTGTACATTCACTCTCAGGCTCAACACACAAGCTTTTACCTCAAAGGGTGTAGTGGGAGAGAGTAAGTAGTTTGAAGGCTGGATGCGTGTCGGTATGGAGGGAAGTATAGCGATATCTAAGACGATAATGGTGTTCAACAGATTAGATGGTATCAGCCTACCATGTTTGTTTTCAACTGTCGGCTTCTGCAGCTCTACTGAGATCCATGGCCAACCCCACAGGCACTCTCAATCTCATGGAAACCTTTAGATATTGCCTGGGAAAGTGAAGCTCTTTGATAGATAGTGTTCAAAACTCTTAGATAAAGACAACTGGTGAACAGAGAGCAGCTGAGGACAGAGCATCATCTATAAAGTGAAATACTGACACATCTATAAAATTTGCAAACTTGCCAGTGTCAAAACCATTCATTGCCCAACTGATTGCATTAAGCATTTGATGGACTTCCCCTCCTTATCACAGGATTTTAAACACAGAAGTGTTGATGAATTCCTAAAGATATATAGACAACAGTCATCCCTGTAAGCTTCTCTTTCCACAGCAGAGATCTGATTAATCACAGACCCACAATAGACAGCAACTAAGACCTTGGTTCTCAAGTAATGAACAGCTGCCCTGGCAATTTATATTTGTTTTGCACTGGTTCAGTAGTTCTGGAGAAATTAGTATGCAGACAGAGATCGGGGAGCTTGTCAAGATTAGAGGGAAATCTCTACCTACCCACTGGGTGGATCTACATTCATGAACAAGGCTGACAAGAAAGCTGACTAGTGTAAAGACAAGAAGCAAATAAAATGGCGGAGAACACCCTGAATATTCTTTTTCATATGAGTGCACCTAGAACACCTTCATAGACAGCCCTGTTCTCTACCTGTCTGTCTTGTATGTCTGTTCATCTGTCAAGACACACACACACACACTCTCTCTCTCTTTTTCTTTCTCACACTCTCTAGCCCCTCTTCTCTTTTCCAAAACTATGTGTCATGCACGTCAAAAATGCTAAGTCCAGTCCTTTTGAGGGTGTTCTGCTGGACCATAGAGCGAATAAACATCCATGTCAGGAGAAAGTGATCTGGGGCCCTTCTCTCACTGAGCCTGAGCTCTCCTGGGAAACACACAGTTCATACAATGGATAGAGGAGGCCTTTTGTTGAGTCTCTGGGAGCTGCAGGGCTAGCCATGGATCAAACAGGGGTGTGTACGTGTGTGTGTGTATGTGTGTACATTTTTGCATTTCACATGCACATGCATGCACACACACTTACCGCACTGACACGACACATGCACACACACACATACACATCACAGACTTTCCTCGTCTGCCTAAACTCAGTGTGACTAAGTAAACTTCACCCTTTTCCAGTAGTTACCAAGGGCAGGAAGATGAATTTGAAATTGCCAGCAGGAGAAGAGAGAAGAGACAAAGAGGAGAATAGTGACGTAAATCAGTGTTGGACTGATTTAAACTGGTTTAGTGTCAGTCTAAAAGGGCTTTCTGTTGTACTATATACAAATCACAGTTCAAAGCACATGGCGGGCCTCCCTCCTGGGGTCCGAGGTAAGGAAATCCTGTAGGGAAGTTTCTAATGCTTGAGGATTGTGAATGCGTGTGGCACAGTTTTTGTTATATATGCTTGGTACTTTTCTAGAATATATGATCTTATATTGGGATGAAAAGACAGGTAAGAGCCTGCACAAAATGGC